AGTCCTGAGGGGAAAACACAAGTCCTGAGGGGGTAACTTGGATCCTTGAGGGGATAGAAGGAGTCCTGAGGAGCTACCATGAGTCCTGAGGGGACAACACAAGTCCTGAGGGGATAGCACAAGTCCCGAGGCAATAAGACAAGTTCTGAGGGAGTAACACAAGTCCTGAGGGGATAACTTAGGTCCTGAGGGGATAACTTAGGCCCTAAGAAGACAGAACAAGTCCTGAGGGGATAACTTGGCTCCTGAGGTGATAGAACAAGTCCTGAGGAGCTAACATGAGTCCTGAGGGGATAATACCTGTCCCAAGGGCCTAAGCACGAGTCTGGAGGGGATAAAATGAATCCTGAGGGAACAGAACAAGTCCTGAGGGGGCTAGCATGAGTCTTGAGGGGCTAACACGAGTCCTGCATGCTGGTCACTCACACAGCTCCAGCAGGGAGTGAAGTACAACACTGGAAAATTTCTGGGCAATCTTGTTTATTAACTTTTACAGTAGATCAGAGTCATCACCTTCCAGCAAATGCGCAGAGATCTCCTGTTGTTAACCCTTTTTAGCACCCAATGAGTTTTTCCTGTGCTGTGAAGCTAACTCCATGGATAGTTTCATTTAGTTTGCTAGCAACAAATGAGGCTAACCCCATGCATAGTTTCATTTAGTTTGCTAGCAACAAGCTGCATTGTATTTGTGTTTTCAGGCTGTTGTTCACTGCTCTGGGGAAGATTAGGAACAGTAAACACATTGCAGGACTGTTGTTCTCCCTTTTAAAACCAGGAGTGTGTCCTTGTTACAGGTTTTGAAGTGCAGCCTTTCCTTTGTCAAATCATTTCTGAAGGGACAAAAATTGTTCCAGTTCTTTTATAACTCTTGAGAGTAAGAGTAACTTGTCTGCATGGCTGGAAAGCTCTTACCTGTGCTCCTGGAGCTGCTGCTCCAGACTCCGTGGCAGTTCCTTGCAGTAGAGCTGGCAGGTGTTTGGAGCTTTGGAGAGCAGAGTGGGTTTCTGCAAGGAAAGCAGAGCTGGTTCAGATGGCATTGCAATCACTGCTGTTGATTTCTTTAGTCCAGAAAGCAAGGGAAAGGTCGTGTGCCCTTCTGACTGTGTGTCACAGCCACAACTGCCTCTAACCCTAACAAAGAATAGCTTTGCATGAGAGACTCTGTCCTAAAAGTCCATGGAAAGATTGCTTCCCAAGCGAAAGAGAAGCTGGAGAACTGGAGGGGGAAAGGTGTTTTTTAATAAACTAAAGCTCTATGAAAATGGATTTAAAATAAAGGGGCTGGAGCAGTAAAACCCCAGAGGGCCAAGAAGTGATTCCTCAGCTGCTGGAGCAGAACCTTTATGGGGTGTTACACAGTGGTACATATCACCAGCAGTCACTATTCACTACCAGAGCAGGAAAACAGCAATAACATCCTTTGTACACAGTTAGGATCAGTGCCTGACACAAGGAAAATACTGAGCAACTCCCAGTTCAGCTGCTCTCTGCTCATGTGGCCTCTGCCTGATTTTCCTGACCTAAGATCTCCCAGGTGGGGTCAGTGAGGGGGAGGAGTGATGCTCCGGGGTACCTGGAGCCTGTGTTTCAGGTACTGAGTTTCCAAGCTCTGCCGTCTGGATAGCAGTGGGGGATGTGCTGTGTTAGGGAAAGCAGATGAAGCTTCCTGCTGCTGCTGCTGCTGAGGTGCTTCCTCCTGCAGAGAGGAGAGGAACAGGTTTCATGTCCAGAAAAGGCTCTTACTTAACCCTTTCTTTTAGGATTTCCCCTACCAGAGGTTTCATAGTTATCATATTCCTGTTTGCTGTGACCTGTTCCACTCAAACAACTCACTGGGAGCTGCTGGAAACTGTTTAACATTTCACTGTGCAAATCAGGATGTTATCACTTGGCTTTTGCATTTCTTACAATTTCATCCTCTCCTGATCTGTCCCACAGCATTAACACCTGGAAGGTGGAGCTTCCTTTCTGGTTTAAGTACCTGTGCAGGACTACTGATGAGGTCCTGCAACTGAGTGGCAGTTGATGTCAGAGAAGTTTCCTCTTCTGATCCCATCTGTTCATACAGCAACTGCACTTTGTTCAGTTCCAGGATTCCTTTGGTTCGTGCCAGGTTCTGGAGGTGCTGTCGAAATGCTACAATTCCTGCAGAAGAGTCAAGCGAAACCCTTGTCAGAAAATCTGTTAATTCCTACCTGGTTAGCACAGCAAATGTGAGATGAGCTGAGTGACAGCTGAGTCCCAGGGTGTCCTGGTGCTTCTGGGCGTGGAGGACATTTCCTGCCACATCTAGGTGTAGTTGTATTCTGAGCTGCATTCACAGGAGTGTGGGCAGCAGGTGAGGGAGAGGATTCTTCTCTTCTACTTTGTGGTGAGACCCACCTGGAACACTGCACACAGTTCTGGTGTCCTCAGCATAAGGACAAGGAACTGTTGGAGCAAGTCCAGAGGCCACAAAGCTGATAAGAGCAGTGGAACATGTTTACATCCTGACTTATTACATTGCAGCTTTGTCAGGTAGTTTAATTGTTATTGGCCTTGAAAGATACAATGTTACTCCACAAACCATTAGAGAGATACATTGTAACTCCACTAAAAAGGTCATTATCTGTTTCAGTGACAGATACATTGTAACTTGTTGCATTGGTACCTTGTTAGTTGCAATGTTAGTTAGTCATTTTGTTGGAGCAAGAGGCCACAAAGCTGATAAGAGCAGTGGAACATGTTTACATCCTGACTTATTACATTGCAGCTTTGTCAGGTAGTTTAATTGTTATTGGCCTTGAAAGATACAATGTTACTCCACAAACCATTAGAGAGATACATTGTAACTCCACTAAAAAGGTCATTATCTGTTTCAGTGACAGATACATTGTAACTTGTTGCATTGGTACCTTGTTAGTTGCAAAAGAGCAGTGGAACATGTTTACATCCTGACTTATTACATTGCAGCTTTGTCAGGTAGTTTAATTGTTATTGGCCTTGAAAGATACAATGTTACTCCACAAACCATTAGAGAGATACATTGTAACTCCACTAAAAAGGTCATTATCTGTTTCAGTGACAGATACATTGTAACTTGTTGCATTGGTACCTTGTTAGTTGCAATGTTAGTTAGTCATTTACAGCATGACTAAAGTTCTGGGAATGAAACCCTTTCATGGCTTGGAAACTGAAATACACTAATCCTTTCACTTAGAAAAATGTGCATTTGGCTCTGGGATATTCCTTCCAGGATCTGGAGGAGCTGCAGAGGGATTCTTGGTTAGGAACTGGAATGATAGGATGAGGAGTAACGGGGAGAAAGAGGGGAAATTTAGGTTAGGTATTAGTAAGGAGTTTTCCCAGTGAGGGTGGTGAGACACTGGCCCAGGTTGCCCAGGGAGGCTGTGGCTGTCCCAACCCTGGCAGTGTTCACAGCCAGGTTGGATGAGCCTTAAGCAACCTGCTCTGGTGGGAGGTGTCCCTGCCCAGGGCAGGGGGCTGTGGCTGGATGATCCCTCAGCTCCATCCCAGCCCCTCAGCACTCCGTGCTGCTCGAGTCCCTGTCCCTGGCAGGAGCTGTGGTTACCCTGGGTGAGGGAGGTGTCGGAGGCTCTGCGTCCCTCGCGGAAGCTGACGGGGGAACGGTTGTGAGCCTCTCTCTTCTGGGAGCTCAGTGCCTGCATGGCTGGGTTGGCAGGCCTCAGCCCAATGAAAGGGGAGGTCATCCTGGGTGCTTGGGGGCTGCTCAGCACCATTTCCTTCAGGGAAGGAGTCTCTCCCAGGAATTTCACGTCTCTCTGAATGGATCCCATGTCATACTCTGAGTCGATGCTGCCCAGAGAGGAGTTTTCGTCCAATGAATAGACTTTCCCTGTGACAAAAAACAAAAGCCAGAGTAAAGGGCAAATCAGTCTAGCAAAGGAAGTGCCACAGGCTCAAGCTACTCCTGCCAACAGTGAATATCTTAGGGGAAACAGCCAAAAAATCAAGTTTGATAAAGTAATTGTCATGTGACACTTGCAGGACCAGAGTGGGGATTTGTTGCTGGTTCTTGCACTGTTTCGCAGCAATTCGACACTCTCAGATGTTCAGTGGCTTGTTTGGAGTGTTCAGAGCTGGGTGTTTTCCCCACAGATAATCCTGGCAAGGCTGTACCCTGAAAGGTTTGGTCATCTTGCTAGTTTGGGAACACCTGAGAATCCAGAGGGTTTTATTTCCCCACTGTTCTCTGCCAGCACATCCTGTAGGGATGATTGATTTGGGGACATTCAGTTATGTGGAAAAGAACAGGCCAATTTGCCAGACTTCAGCAGTGGCTGTGGGGTTTGTCCATGAGTTTAGCCAGCTGGGAATTTGCTGCTTTGATTTCCTACTGTCTCTACAGCAGCTTTTGGGCTGTTTTGTTACTTTTAGCATTTGCTGGGAAGGCCAAAGGGAAAAAACAAACCCAAGAAAATCTGTCTTATACTTGTTTTTGATCACTACCCTATCAGACTGAGTGTGAGAGTAGGCAGTGGGCTTTGAGGTGCCCTTGCTGCCTGCAGTACCTGTGCCTGGCACCATCACCAGCTGGTTGGTGACCTCTGCCAGGGTGTGCCGGCGCTTCCCACACCGAGCGGCCTGGAGGGCTGCGAAGGCCTGGGCAGGATCATCCTCTGACTCCCCTTCTGTCTCGATGCCTTCATCTATAGAGGTCTCCATCATGCTGCTGGGCAAGGATTGGCATCCTTTCCTCATCACCACGGGAGGGACAGGATCCAGCAGGCACCCGTTGACCTACAGGGCACAGGGAACCAGCCTGAGGCAGGGGAACTCTGCCTGCCAGGTGGCTCAGGGCAGTTTTGGGGTTTAAAATGTGTGAAACTCTCTGGAATCTGCTCAGTTGAGTAAGGCTTGTTTGTCATGTGCAATTCTGAACAGTTTCCTCCACTGACATTCCCTTAATCCTCAACTCCCTAAACCTGAACACACTAATATAATACTACATAAATAGTATATAAATACCAAATTCCACGGTCCTACCTTCTCCAGGCCTGGCATTTTTTGAGCTACTAAAAACTCCTACCAGCTCAGTCTCAACGTCCTGCAGTTTTAGGGAGTCTGTTCTGTAGTGCCTAAGTCACTCCCACTGTTTTGGTGGGCTCAGCTTGACTATCTGGATGGAACAACTCACTCATTTAGCTTAAAACCTGACACTGCTACAGGTGATCTTATGTAAAGCTGTGGATGAGCCATTCCTGAGTTTTCTTTGGTGTTTTGCAAACAAAGTGTGTTTGGAAAAGAAGTTTCATCGCAGTAACAGGAGCTGTTAGCAAATGATCTTCCAGGGAGACTATATGGTAACACTGCAGGAAAATATTTAAAGCAGTCTCAAGAAACAGCTATAAATAGTTTGAGCACCAGTAAAATGATGATTCCTGCACAGGAAAATTCTGGATCTATTTTAATTTGGTGGATTATATCCTCAAGCTGAAGTTCTTGCACACCTTACTTTCCATTCCTGACTTTTCCATTCAAATGCCTCACACTGATCTGGCAGCAAAAGTGCTGGAGGGGAAGGAGAGAACCAATCCCACATGGGCAGTTGGCTCTCTGCAGTTTTCCATGGCACAGGGGTCAGAGTTTGGAGCTCTTTAGTGACATGCTCTGCAATAGTTTAGGCACTGAATATTCCCAAGCGAGTTGTGATTTGACACCTCACTGTGGTCACCAGTTGTTGACCCTCTCTGGCCAAATTGCACCCATAAAGCAAAGGGAGAAGCAAAATAAAATTTGAAATGTTAATTTCCAAATATCTTTGAACCACGTTTTGCTCTGCAGCTGTAAGAGACCACACAAGGAGTTAATTAAACCAGGGCCACACTCTTAGTCTTGGTAACTAACCAGTGAGCAATAAAACCTTCAAACTGGCAGGCATGAAATCAAACCCCAACTGGCACCAGGCAGAATAAATACACTGAAATTAAAGTTATAATGTGATGCAATACGAAAGAGAGCAACAAAAGCTCCACGACAATAACAACATACTTCATAAATGTAATTCTTTTAAGCCATTTCCCCTTCCAGCTGCTAACTCCCATGGATTTCCCTTCTTTGCTCCTCTGCAGAATGCTGTCACAGACCTCAGAGATCCATGGCCAAAGGGATCAGACCTGAGCTCCCCTCAGAGCCTTAAAGCTGGATCCATACATCCGTGGAGCTCTGGAACTGTCACATCCCATTAGGTGAGCTGAGTTAAGTCTGTTAAGTGTGGAGGTGTGGGAAGGCTACGCAGACTCTTCCAGTGTGATTACAGGAAACAAACCCTGTTAGCTGGAGCTGCAGTTGGATGTGGGCTCCAGGGAGAGTTCTGCAGGCATTCCCAGTTCCAGGAATGGCATTCCCAGTTCCAGGAATGGCCTGGCTGGGCACTGCTACAGCCAGTTTGAGCTGCTGCAGTTGCAATGGGGTTTGACAGTCAGAGGCTCCTGCTGGGCACTCACCATCCAGCAGAAAAGGAGTGCAAATGTAGCTTTTTGCTGGCTGACTATGGAATTGGCAGAATTCGAAGTTCCTGGTATTTTAATTGCTTCGGGTGGCAACAGAAGCTTCTGGTTCAGGTTCCATTGTGCTTCCTGTCCTCATTTATCTGAACATTTGGATGAGTAGCTGAGTAGACACTTCAGATACTCAGCAGTGAACCCTTTGTATTAGAAGCTACACATGAGGAGACTTCAGGGCTCTTGAAAATACATTTGAGAAGGGAAAAAAAACCACTTTTGTAGGTTGGTTTTTCTTTTGCAAATACAGTGTGGTAAGACTGGAATGTAAGCAAAGAACACGAGAGGCACATTAATGGTGAAAAAAGACACAGCTGTGGAGAGTTATATGGAAGAGAAGTGGAAAAAAGGGATCTGGAATACCTACAACTGATGCTCAGGGAATACTGAGGTTTAAGGAAACAGCTTCTACTGGGCAGTCATTGAAAAGGCAACAACCTTTTTGAGCCTTAGTGACTCCTGAATAGAACCCAACCAAGGAGCAAGAGGGTGATTCAAGCTGTACCTTTGGTGTCTCAACTCTTTCCTCCTCCATGAACGCTGTCTCTCCCTGGCAGCTGGATGGAGGGAAGGAAAAGGCTTCTGCTCCTGAAGCTGAGGGAAGACCTGGAGACTGCAGCAGCCTTGCATTTTGGGAACGGAGGTTGACTGAGGGTACCACAGCTTGTGCCTGAAAGAAAGAGAATAAGAACTCTAAAACTAGAAACAACTTCAGGTAGAAAACACCATACGAAGTCACAGATGAATCAGTACTTAACCCACTGACTGCCAAAGCAGAAGTGTGAGATTTATTTCTTCCCTCTAGATGAAGCACATTCTTAGTCTTTAAACTATGAAAAAAAAGCATTGCCACCCCCAAAACTCACTAATAACCCTCAGTGTCCTTCAGGCAGGTACCTATTGCACTTTCTAGCAGTAGTTCTGGACTTTTTAGCAGTGTTTGGGCCTCTTTGGTGCCTGAGATTCAGTACAAACCCCTTAATGTTCCCACGAGGCACAGAGCTAGTTTCAAGGACTTTTCCAACATGCTCTGATTCCTGCAGGGAAAAGCAGGAGGAAGGACAGAGCAGGCTGGACCTGAAAGGAGTTGTTTCAGCAGAGCAAGAGTAAGCAGAGTAAGGAACTACCTTCCAGGAGGTGTTTTCTTCTGCTGCTTTTGATACACCTTCTGCTTACTAATTTGCTTTGGAGTGCTGTGCCTGTCATTAGAAGTACCATCCAAGAGAATGGCTGGTTTAATCCCTGCCAGCTCCTCCTGGCCCTGTGTTCTCAGAGCTGAAGCTGTTTGGCTTTCACCTCCACAGAACCCAAACCCAAATAGTGCCTTGTTGCCTGAAGCCAAAAAAGGAGCCGCACGGCTGTGATTTCTCTTGGAAGTGGAGCCTGAGCACTTGTTCCCCACAGCAGCACCACAGTGCTCAGGAGGGCTGTGAACTTGAGTGAGTATTTACTTGAGACCATGACAAATCTGAGTCATCTTAGGCCAAACCTTTCACGGTTCCAGTTAGGCATTAATAGAAATCAAAAAGCTTTGCAGTGTCTGTGTATCTTAATGAAACAAAAGAACATGTGAAAACATCTGAGAGTTACTGGAATAAGACACAATCAACTGTACCTGACCTTTCTTTGGGAGGAAAATGGCTAGGGAAGAAGCAGATCAGTCAGTGTAATTAGGAGGACACTAAGTGGGCAGCCAGGCAAGGGAAGGGCTGGCACCAGATGTAAAGAGCACCCAGAGCTGCTCTTGATGAAACACACATGACATCCTTCAGACTTAAATCAATTAGTCATCACCCTGGCTCTGTGCACTGAGGTTTTGTAGCTGAGCTGCAAAGTCTCCCAGGAAATTGGGCCCTTGCTGGGGCACAGGAGGGAAAAGTGCTGCGAATCTTCAAAGAAATGACATTGTCTGGGAATAAATCTGACTCTTCGGGCATTAAGCAGCTCAGATAATGATGTTTTTATCAGGTGCTTAAGACACTACAATGAATTAGCATCTGAACCTGAAAGGTTGATCCTGATGTTTTCTTTTGGGCACCTTTGCTGTTCTTTGCCAGGCTTCATTTCATGGGAGACAGAAAGCATAGCTGGAGAGCAGCAGGGGAGGAGGTAATTTTGTTTTCCTCAGGCCCCTTTAGAGTGACTGTTTGCAGCACTAAGTAGAGCCTGCATGTTCCTAGCCCCCATGCTAGCACAGCTCTCCATAAACTCAACAGCTCCTTTGATAATCACATTAAAGAGACTCCAAGTGTTCCACAGTCTCCAGAACTGGTGTTTCTCTAACATTTTAACCCATGGCTTCCCAGCAAAAGGTCTGAAAGCCTCAAAAATGGAAGTGTTCCAATGAGGAGCAGAAGCACAGTCCTTTCCCTTCCACTGGGAAGTGAACTGGCAGCTAAGGTCAAACCACACAGATCCCCATTAAACCCAAACCACTGGTTGCACTTTGAGCTTCAGGGATGACCCAAAATGAAACTGCCATCAATCAGAAAATAGCAGTGGAGCATTTTGGAAGGGAATGAAGGCTGGCACAGCCTCCAGCCCAGGCAGGAGCCTCACCTTGGCCACTGTCTGCTCAGCGATGGTGCTGGGCCGACGCTGCCGCGCGTCGACTCGCTGCTCCACGGGGAAGCTGCTCCGGTGGGATTTCAGCCTTTCCACTAGCAAGTAATAGATAGCAGCAAAGTGGTTATAACTCTTGTTCTGCAGGGACTGAAAGAGAGAAGCACAGGAGTGTGGGTGCAGCCAAGTATGTGTTAGCTTTTATGTTCTACAAGGCCAGCAACGAGAGTTGCTGGAGGGAAGGTTTAAGTTGTTTATTTGAGAGGCTCTGGGGTAGGCGAATGTTCTGAACTGAGAAAGGTTCAAAGCAGAGTGGCAGAGGAGCAGCAGCAGGGGTGTGCTCACAGCACTGCGTTCTGGGCTGCAGCAGCACTCGTGGCCAATATTCAGGTGCCACTCTGACCCTTCACAGAGCTGAACCTGGAGAAGGGATTGAGCTCATCCACAATGATTTGAAGGATCAACCATCCTAAAGGAAATGGCTGTGTTAACTCCAGAGGCAGTCTTGGCATTTATGCCTGGTAGGAAGCATGACTTGGGCTTGGACAGACATCCAGCTGCTTTCTGTTTCCATGCTCCTTTTTGAATGTCATTTGCCACCCGCTTAGAAGCTCCAAGTGAGTTTACTTTCAATTCTAATTTCCTCTCCCCTCTCTCCAGTTGACAAGTCAATGATTTATCCAGCCCCACTCAGGAAATATCTGAGTCTCTTTTACCTCAACAGTTTTCTGTTGGTCTATGCCAAGGCTGTGCATGAGCCTCAAGACCTGCTCGTTGTACTCCCCGATGGAAGGCTCATTCTCCTCTCCTGGTGGGTAAAGAATTGGCCTTTGGGCAGGAACTTCTATTAGCATCCACTTGTGCTCCTTAATCTGAGCAATGGTTAACCGTTTGGAGGGGTCTAGGACCAACATTCTTCTAATCAGGTGTTCACATTCTGTTGGGAAAAGAAAAATTACCTGAGACCAGGACATGAACTGCCTCACTCCTACCCAACCCCTGTGCTGAACACAGGTCCTGAAGGCTATAACAGTCCCTTAAAACTAGTTTAAAAGTCACATTAAGAAGGAGAAAAGCCCAACTTCAAATGCAGTGTGGCAAACAGCATCATTCCTTCTGCTCCCAGTGTGCAGCTGCACCACCTCTGCAGCTCTGCAGCACAAACGATTCTAGAATTTATTCACACCACACCGACAACGTAAGAGGAGGCACAAAGTTACCTTCTGACATAAAATAAGGGATCCTGAACCTTCCTTCAAGAACTCTTTGCCTCAGGATGGGCAGTGTTGGTCCATCAAAAGGCAACGCTCCACAGACCAGGACGTAAAGCACTACACCCATGCTCTGTAAGACAGAGAATATCCATTTCATTCCAAGCAATTCCAAGGCATTCAATGTCAGTGTCTATGTCATGCCCACTGCAAACCTGATGCCAGAGCACAGGCTGCCAAACTCTACTGTCTCTGGTTGCTCTAGGGTATGAATCAGTCACTGTAACTACCAGAAAATGAAAATAAAACCCCAAAACCCCCAAGCAATACCAAATTAGGAATGAAGAAGAGGTGCTGACACTGCATGAAGGGTGCTCAGAGCTTCTGCAGCTCCCTGTTCTGTGGAATCAGAGGATGGACTGCCCTCTCTATCCTCTTCCATTAGATAATATGCATGGAAACACCAGCTCAAACCCACGGAGCTGCTG